CTGAGGGGATCAGGCCCTCTGAGGGGATCAGGCCGTCTGAGGGGATCAGGCCTCTGAGGGGATCAGGCCGTCTGAGGGGATCAGGCCCTCTGAGGAGATCAGGCCGTCTGAGGGGATCAGGCCCTCTGAGGGGATCAGGCCCTCTGAGGGGATCAGGCACTCTGAGGGGATCAGGCCGTCTGAGGGGATCAGGCCGTCTGAGGGGATCAGGCCGTCTGAGGGGATCAGGCCCTCTGAGGGGATCAGGCACTCTGAGGGGATCAGGCCGTCTGAGGGGATCAGGCACTCTGAGGGGATCAGGCACTCTGAGGGGATCAGGCCGTCGGAGGGGATCAAGCCGTCTGAGGGGATCAGGCCGTCTGAGGGGATCAGGCCGTCTGAGGGGATCAGGCCACGCCTGGTTGCTATCAGAGGGGACGATGTCAGCAGAAGCTCAAGCTCATGGCTTGTCTCCCTGTGATCCCCCGGTGCTTCCAGGCCGCATCTTGGACCCCGTCTTGGCCCCGACCATTCACCCCCTTCCCACGCAGCGCCCCAACTCCAGGACCCCGCCCGCGGGTGAGTGTTCCGCTGTGGAAGGGGCCCCGGCTTCCCCGGCGTAGTCCGGTGTGAGAAAGAGGGGGGTGACGCCAGACCTGGACCGGGAGACCAGGCGATGGGGAGCCTGGGTGGGGAACGGAGAACGCGCTCAGCTGGGGGAGCGGAGCAGCGACGCCCCCTGCCGGCAGCCGGCGCAGCCCCCGGGGCTGTGGACCAGCTGCGAAGGGACCAGGCCCGGGTGGGATGGGCGGCGCTCTGGACGGCCTGGCGGGGCCGGGGTTGGGCCTTTCCCGCTGTATCAGCTCCAGCCCGTCCGCTTCCCGGACCTCTCAGTCTCTTCCCGGTTATGTGTGACAGCACTTCCGACATTGTGACCTCATTAGTCGGGGCACCCTTTTTCCAGTTTTCTTGGATCTACCTGGGGAGGGGTGTATCACGCCACCTCCCAGCGTCCTTTCCACGGTGTTTAGCCAGAATCCCACAGTTTGCTTCCACATGGATTACCTCTGTCTATTCAGCCCTACATAGGACCGCCCCACACCAGCTCCCCCGCGAGGCCCACCTCATGTCCTCTCTCCTGGCACCTGTGGGTGCATGTCCACCAGGTCCTGCAGCTCCTTGCAATTTAATCACTTTCTTCTCTAATAAGATTGGTGGTGGCTTTTAAATGTATGCAAAAGTGTTCGTCCCCTAAAATATTGAAGCCCCACGGCCTTCCCATGAGTGTGGGCTGAAGTTAATGGCTTGCCTCCAGCTAGTAAGATAGACGTATTAACAGTGAGTGACGTTTGAGGCTACATCGTGAAGGCATGGAGGGAGTTTGTTACGCAGCCTTAGATATCCAATATGAGTCCTAGTCTATCTCCATGGGGTCACGTTGTCACGCAACCCTGCTTTGAGCTAATGGCCAGCAGGGGCAGGGGAGGGGAGAGGGCTGGGAGGACCACAGGGGTGGAGAGGGATCTCTGCAGCCTCAAGGGGAGGAGAGCTCTTAACAGCTCAGAGGGGTCAGGGAGTTGAGGGACTCAAGATTCCAGTGCATCAGCCCAGATGCCATCAGCGAGTCAGGGTCCCTGTCCAGGGTCCCCATCTTCACCAGCCCCTGGCTGGTCAAGGGAAGTTTCAACTTCTCTGCAGCTCAACTCTTCTTTTGTATTGTTACGCACAGTGTTAGACACTACTAGCAAAATGCGCCTCCCCCTGCAGCAGTGACCACATCCTGCTATTGTACTCCCTTTACCCCTCCCCATGCCAGCCCCCGCTTTTTAACCTGAAATTGTGCATACACAGATAGGCACAATTTTGAAAACTGGGTGCCCCCCACCCCGTGTAGCTCACACACTTATCACAAGGTGGAACATTCCATCTCCACCCTTTCCTCATCCCTTTTCCCACAGGATTCCCCCCACCTTCAATCTCCAACCACTGTCCCAGGGCCCGGATGCAGCAACCAGTGCCAGATGCGCCGTCTGCAGCTTCCCGAGGGGGAGGTGTGCCGTTCACATCGTTCCTGTCCCCGGGAGCAGTCTTCCCTGGTACAAGCACACGTCAGTTCTCTGGACCAGGAGCATTTGGGCCGTTTCCGGCTTTTGTCCGTCCTGGGCCCTGACTGCCCTCCAGCAGAGAACAGTGCAAGGTCACTGCCGGCTGCAGGGTGGCACGTGGTTGCTCCACCCAGGGACCCGAAGAGTCTGCAGCCGGGAGGTGCGACTCCATGCTCCTCTCTGCCCTCGTTCCACCCAAAGTGTATCCTGACTGCAGGATCTGCTGGAGGCGCCGCTGTCTTCCCCAGACCTCATCGAGAGGCAGAGCAGGAAGATTACTCTCTCTGCAGTGCAGTCTGCAGCGATGTCTTCCTGTGCATCCCACCCCCCCACTTTCACCTCCTCCCTCCACCTCTCTTCTCCCCCCAGTGCCGATCACCTCCCCTCCGTCTGCCTACCCCCCATCTCCATCCAACTTTCTCAAGCCCACCCCACTCCCTGACCCTGCCCATCTGCCCAGCTTCCCCATCTGACCCTCACTTCACACCCTGAATTTTCCCTTGGACACTGGGCCCCTGCATATTGGAACCCTCGGCCAGTGGGGCCTGCTGCTCGTCTGGGCCTGGATGAGCCCGGTGATCTGCACCCAGGGCCTCCAAACTGACAAGTCTGCCCTCATGAAGCATCTGGCCTCGCCAGCAATTCTTCAAAGGCTCCACATCACCAGTTCCTTGTTGGCTGCACGAGAGGGTCTCATCACCCAGCTAGACCCCCTTGGGCCTCTGAAGTTAGCACAGCTCAGGTGGACTTCTGGCCCAAACCTGACCACGCCAGCCTACCCTGCGCACCGCCCATCCGAGGGGACGTTGGACACGACCACCCCGCCGGCGTCTGGTCTTGTGGCAGCTGGTCCCCAGATCAGTGCTGCCCCAGTCACCAGTAGGAGGTGCCATAGCACCACTCCCGCCTTAGAGCACATTCTCTGTCCCCACCCAGGCAGGGTCAGCTGCGCCCTCTCCCTCCTGCCCGCCTCCCCGTCCTGGTCTGGCCTCCCTTCTCCTGCTCGCATCAGTGATGCTATTGTGCCTGCCCTTCCACTACAGCAGGGCGCCCACCTGCTGGAGGAGTCTTGGAGTTAGGGCTCTGCAGGAGGGGGAATGAGGCCAAAAGGTGCATGTGGGGGGGGGGTCCAAGATGGACCTGGATTCACTAGGAGAAACACGGGGACAAGCCACAAACTTCAGCAGATAGGACCAGTCATCGTCCCCTCTGCTGGGACTCAAATGTGCTGGGATCCGCCCCACCAAAGACTGGGCATCTGTGCCAGAGGGCCCACCCCGAGACCAGCCTGAAGGCTAGCTGTGAGGAGGATCCCCGGATGGCCTGGGCCCCCAGACATCTCACCACCTCCCCACGGAGCCTGCCCACCCTCCCTTCAGGGTGTGGAAGGAGGAACTGCAGCCGGCACCATTTGCCATTGCCCCAGCCAGCAGAAGCCCTTCCCCATCCTACACTATATCTACAAGCAAGTTCTTCCCCTGGATCTGAGGACAGCCCCCACCCCAGCAGAGACCAAGGCCCGGGGCCTGTGTCCTCAATGTGCCAGAGACCTTCCCTGAAGGGGCCACCTGCCTTTGGTCCCATGACTTGGCCCCCCAGCCCAACTGGCTGCAGCCCCACCAGCTGAGTGAGGAAGAGCCTCAGCCTCAGCCCAGTGCCATGGAGCAGAAGATGCAGCAGGCTGGGGCCATCTACCTTCCCCTTAATGTCCTCACCCGTGGCCAGATGACCTTTCAGAAGCAGAAGCTCTCACTTCTCACTACTCCAGAAACCACGGAGCTCTAGGAACCTCACCTGGGTCACGCCATGTCAGAACACCTATTGTTCAGGTGCACCCCAGACGGCTGACCCCTCCACCCAGATGTCCCAGAGTGCTTGAGTCAGGGTCCTCTGCACCCTGTGAGGCCAGGGGGGCATCGTTGGGATCAAGGATCTTCTGTTCCCCGCGCTGCCTTCCCCCATAAGAGCCCAACCTGCATCAGAGCTCAGACCTCAGGGTTGGAAGGACCCCCCCCCCAGGGCCACAGTCCAGCTACGGCCCCATCAGGCCAGAACCAGCCAGGCCTGAGGGTGTGCCCTGCTCTCTCAGACCAGTCTGGTAGTGGGACAAGGTGGGGTGACCCCTCAGCTCAGGCTCAGGACCAGGCTGGAGACTCAGGGCAGGGCCTCCTCCCTGAGCGATGTCACAGCACTGTTGCACACACAGGCACTTTATTCAATTCCTTTATAGACAGATACAAATGTGAAAACATTGTAAAAGGGGGTGGAGGTGGGGGGTCAACAGGCAGGATGCAGGGCCAGTGGCGGAGGGCCGGAGGGCTCGGGCAGCAGCAGCGGGCAGTGACTAGTAGCCCCCATGGTCCTTCAGCGTCTGTGAAAAGGCCTGGAGGCTCATCACTGTACCAGTGGCTGAAAGAATGATGAACCCGATGATCAGCAGGAGGCTGAAGACCAGGGCGCAGATGTTCAGGCACTTGGCGGTGGAGGCGTAGCTCTGGGCCCCCATCAGGTCGCCCACCATCTTCCGGTCCCTAGACTGGAGAGATAG